CACCGGTGTTGTCAAGCGTTGCCCTCTTAAAAAAGCGGGGCTTACAACCCCAAGAATCCCCCATGGGGGGGGGGGAAGTCGGGGATTGGAGGTCCACTCATCTTAAAGTGGCCAAGTTTGGACAACACTGATTTACACCTTTAAAAATAATAATAATAATGTTTGAAATGATAGTAAAATATATGCTGTATTTACCCAAAAGGAAGATTATTCTGAACGTAAGACAATCCTCAACTACCAAACAATGTTAGACATAAAAGAAGTTGCCAATCTGCGTTACACATTTAAGCAAAACTGAAGCAACCCTGTTGTTTTAAGGATAAACTGTTTGGGGAAACGACTAATCTTCCATTTGCATAAATATAGTAACTTGCTCATGTTAAAATCTTGGTCTAAAGAAGCCATAGTCATAACTTGTTCTATAGTTACAGATTAAGTGGTAGTTTCTGATGTGGTGGGAAACTGGTTTAATATACAGCACCTGAATGACTGAAGCCAGGCAACACAAGAGGGACGGCAAGGGCAATGGAGGGACAGAAACAAACTATGTAGGCTCAAAACTTTTCTTGGCCTGGTAAATTATGACTTGGATAAAGACAGTTCCATCTGAATATGCCTTAGTGACTCAGATCACTGATTAAAAAAAGAGCTATGTAAAACCTTCAAACTGGTTTGCCCCCAAACAAACACAGGAGTTCTATGCTCTGCAGTAACCTTACTTGAGTTTTGAGAATAGAGAGGCCCGCCATTAACATGAGGTTGAGCAGAAAATGGAGCAGTCACAGAAGGATTCCTCCTAAATCCAGCAGAAGAGGCTGAAGAAGTGGTAGAGTTGTGTCGGGAAATCTGCCTGGTCATTGTGCCATACTGGGAACCAGGAGCTGACCCAGGAACAGCTGAAATGCAAGAGCCAAAAGGAACCAACACGACTTGAGCAAAACGAAACACAAACGACAACTCAGAACGCAGTGCAGAAACCAAGAGGGAGGGAGGGAAGAGAAAAGGAGCAGGGAGACCACAGCACAGTAAATGTATGAAAATCCAAATCCACTAGGCTTCATGGGACAGATAGAGAAAAAAAATGCATCAATCATGTGTTTTGGGAGAGGGAGAGAAGGGTTTACCTTAACTTATATAAATACATATTTTAATATCTCAAAGACATAATGGTACAGAACTCCAATGTTCATGATGAACCTTTCAGAGCTACTATGGCCCTTTAAGTGAGCAGACTGTGCAGAAGATCAAATCCCAGATTGACTGAGAGAAAAGTTGAAATGCAATGTCTTTTATATTATCAAAGGAAAGAAAAGAATGAGGTGGGTAATTTCTTCCAAATTATCATAAGCATTATTCTCTTTCTCAAACTTGGTTGACTTCCATTCTGATCCCACTCCACTCCACCCACAAAATGGAATTTTCACAGTAAACATTGCAAAATTAGATAAATTTCATTAACTAATAAACTAAAAGTATAAATGCTAGGTTTCAGGTTAATTCAAGAAATAGAACTTGCACACTGGAAACAATTCTAAAATGAAGTGTGAAGGTACGTTTTATAAATAATGTTCTATAAACATTATGCAAACTCTCTCAGAGGTTCAGCACTCAGGGGAAACTGAGCTCCACATTATCAGATTTTGTTAATTATTCCATCCACTTCAGCCCTGAAATTTCGCAAAAGCTGTTCTTGCAATTTGGGGGACCATCCTAGAACACTAGGATATGATGCAGAATGCTGCAGTAAACAGATAGGATCAGGTAAATTGGCTGCCCCACTTTGTGAAAGAGCCTTTTTAATAACAGTTTGTTCAAGTAGGTTACACCGCCACAGTTTTAATATTAAGATAATTTTCATTACTTCATCCAGGTAAAAAACCTCAAGTTTAAATAATGGCAAAAAATAATGTCAAAAGCATTCTATGGCTGTCCCTTTATAGGATCATCATTGCATTACTTACTTTGGGTTATGTAAAAACAATTTGTCAGTGGACAAGACCAATTTTTATATTAGTCCTCTTTTGCTTTTAGGCAAGAACAATCTATGACTCCTACATGACAACCAAATATTTGTTTTCAAATATAATGGTTTCATTTATATATATCAACCAAAACAATTTGACTAATACTTGCCTTCTGCTGAAACAAATTTTTCAACCAAATATTTTATTACTTGGTGTGGTTATTTGTTTTAATCCAAATGCTGTGATCTCAAAACTTTAAAAACACAACATTCTTGTAGTTCATTTAAGAAGTGGAACTAATAGCCAATCCTAATTTAATATTTTGACACACTGAGGTAATCCAGTACTACAGCAGAGATTGACAGATAAGGCTGGGCAAAATATAATAGGTCTTACTCAATATAACTAGTGTTTCCTGTGCTTATTTAAACTTCAAAGGTGTTCATCTCACTCTCTCTCTCTCTCTCTCTCTCTCTCTCTCTCTCTCTCTCACACACACACACACACACACACACACGATCCCTAAGTGCAATTAGGACAGTTAAGACCTCAAATTATTATGATTATTCCTTAATACTGCATGAATAACAAAGTAATATATATGAAGCTACATAAGGACTTGAAAAGCAAGGATAGTTTGCAACAAAAGAAAAATTCAGTATAGTGAACAGTATTGGTGTAAATTAGTTTTAGCTATTTTTTCATTCCTTTCCTCTTATCTCATGCCTTTAATTTCTTTTGCTTACTATTTCTTACTCTTTTTCTGCATTTGCATAACACTGTTTACCTCGGAAATTGTGAGATGGTTATATATGTTGTTATACTAAGTCAAAAGCACACAAGAACAAAACCCCAATTCCATCAATTTGCCAGTCCGACAAAGAGAATTAGAAAAGGAAAACTGCCTAGTACTTCAAAAAATGAACAAATTCCAGCACTCTCAAAAGGTAGAACCCATCCTGCTGCCCATCTCAAGAACATCTGTAATCCTGAAAGAGCTTCAGAAAAAACAGTTATTTGTGCTGTTAAAATGATTCACTTGCCAAATCATATCCTGATCTACAAATGAGTTTACGTTAATAATTAAAGAATTTTAGTTTGCTTATTGACTCTTTTTTTAATTCTATATGAGGATTTAGCACTAAAGTAATATCCTCTTTTAGAAGGATAATGTATATATTCATGGATAAGCCCATCCATGGATAAGTTGAGCTCAAATTTTTAACCAAAATACCATGAAAAATGTGCCACCTGCGGATAAGCTGACCCTCAAAATTTTTAGTATGTTTTAATTTTCACAACTGGCTTATATGCCAGTAGTGCATTTTTCTGGTATTTCGGTTAAAGATTTGAGGGTCTGCTTATCCACAAATGGGCTTATACACAAGTAAATACAGGATATATGGGTATTTTTAAAAAGCTGGAAAAAAACCTACTATATATACTCAGATAAGCCAAATCCAATTTCGGAGGTGTATTTTGGTACCTAAAATGTTAGGCTTATCCACGAGTATATATAGTAAATAGAAGAAAAAAAATCATTGCTGCTTTTCAAAAAAGCCATCACAGCAAAAATTAAACCAAATTCTGTTCATTTTCCAAAATAAACATAAAAGATAAGGATTTTCCTTCTTTCTGTGTTCTATAATCATAACATAGCTCTACAAATTCTCAGTCCTCTTTGAATTTATTTATATAACAGGACCATCTACATGGGGAGAAATTATCTCCATCAGCAAGCCCCTTAAATGTATCAACCAATATCCATTTGCTGAATTAAGCAACTGCATTCCAGAAGATACAGAGGATGGTGACGTATTGCACAGAATCCACTTTTTTCTGACTTGTTTTTTAAAACTGATTTCTGCGCTTTGATCAATTTAGTAACAAATACCTTGGCCAATAGTTGGTGGTGAAGGTGTAGGCACTGCAATGGGAATGCCAATACCACTGCTCCCACTGTTTTCTCGACTGCCGCTTCCTCCGCTACTACCACTGCTCAAAACAAAGCAAGCAGATAAATAAAACATTGCTATAACAAGTACTGTAACACTTTAAAACAAATCAGCAAACTGTGAACCATACTCTTTCACTCTGTCTAAAGGAAAAGAGAAAGTGGGGGGGGGAATCCCAGGTGATTGTTAGCATAATAGCAGAGCTGAATGTAAGAAATACAGATGTGACAATCAAGTGCAAAAGCAGTTTTACCTACTCTAGTATTTAATTTAAAAACTGTGAGGAATTATCTGAGAGTCAAAAAACTGTTAGAACAACTAAAATACTCTGAATGGTTATAGGCTGTTTAGACTAATTAAAGGTGATAAACTGTCAATAAAAGCTTTAAAATATAAGCAAAGTGTCAATCTGATGTACAAAGGAGACATTCACCTGGGACCAAGGCATCAGGAAAAGTGCTCCACATAAGTATTATTGCAGAAAACACTGGCTTAAGGTAGCATGCTGCGTTGGTGTATTGCTGAATTTGGTTTAACACTGTCAATCCATTTTGCCAGCAAGCATAATAATGAGGGCAGTCTGTTCTTTGAAAACAGCATAATACATCTTACAATGGGAATACAGAAAACCTGCTGGAGGAGGAGTGATAGATTCATAAACTCATTTGGATTCCCAAATCAGCTACATAGGAGGTTGAAATCTTAGCCTGTCCCCATTCACAAATACCAGAATGAGCTTTCAAAAGGAGGCAGAAACTGGAGAAAATGATCACAAGGACTAAGATACGTCTTTAGAAAAATTGCATTAAGCAAATTGCTAGTAATGTAAGAGCCAGTTAGAAATGTATTTAAAACACTCTTCCCCAGTCAGATGTTCTCCAGATGTATGAAACTAATTACAACACTGGTCGGTTTGATAGGGAATGATGGAAACATCAGGCAGAACCAAGTTGAGAAAGGTGGTGCTAAAATCCAAAATCTGCTATTCAATGTTCCACATATTAATTCAAAACAAGGCAAAATTCATGAATTAGTTGGAAATAATTCAACCAAAATAAGTGAAAAGGTAAAGATGGCAACCAGTAATTGACATCATTCTCACAAAAATCAGTGTTTGGTATGCCAAAGAACTGGGACTTGTTGCCATGGTTGCAGCTAAATTTCATCACAAACCACTTGCAACACTGAAGAGTCCATTTCTGCTATCTCAAATAATGTATGTACAAGATATTTATGCAACTGCTTTAAATAAGGCAGTGCTTTAGCAAATGGCTCAGAATAGAAAGATTTTGTCTACAAAGAACGTTGGGCATATAAGCTTTTATTTTGTTATTAAGGGGGAAACGTTCATTAAAATTATTGCTATGTCAAATCATTGATGCTGCAGCATGAAATACTATAGTGCTGAAAAATCGTGCCTGTTTCTTTACAGCAGCCTTATTCCCAAGGCTGAGAAACTGTATTACAGCAACCAATCATAACCTGTTTTCTTCAATATTTGACCAATGAAGTTGAATAGAACTAATTTTGTGCAATCAGAAAAACCTTCTAATAAAAGCCCATAGAGGTAGACTGATGAATCTTCCATCTGCAAACTTTTTTCAGCCTTAAGGCCACCTTTCCATCTTAGAGCAACAGAAAAGTATAGGACTAATTCTCTAATGCTTGGTTTTGGACCATTTCAATAATCTTGGCAGCACTGCTGTAGAATGAAGTCTCATTTTAGAGGCTGGAAAGATGATAAATATTGAGGCTTGTTTGAGCACATAAAACTCAGTAGAGAATAGTGAAAAACATGCTGTGGTCATTACAGATCTGGATGTCTTTGCTACACACAGTTTTGAGAATTCCTCAATTTAAAGAACAACTTGCTAGATGATCCTCAACTTCTGTCCAGAGTCTATAAGCATGTTTTGTTTCAAATAGCAGTTCTTAAAATAAAATAAAATAGCACGTAAATTGTGGACTGAAATAGATCAATACCAAGCTTTAAACATCAGTGTTGCATATACATATGCTCCATGTGTTCTATTAATACAAATAATATTTCTCTTTTCTTTAAATCTAGGAATAGACAAACCATGGCCCATGAACCCCATTTCTGTACACTCCAAAGCCCCCTAAAACAGCCCTGCAGAAATATGGCAATCAATTACCAAATTATACCAGGGCAATTTACTTTTTAAAAAAGGCAATAAAATAGGTCCATTAAGTCTGAACCTCTGACTAAAAAGAAAGTCAAACCTGAAAGCTACAGAAAAAGTGGATGAAATTGAATATTCATGTGTCACCACTACTGCAGCCAAGCCTGAAAAAGGTTTCCGGCCCCTACTTTAACACAAAACTGATTTTGGAAAGAACAAGTGGTTAGTACCAAATAAAATATATATTCATCTCCTTTTGCAGCCTTCTATTATTGCTTCTCCAGATCAAATTTGCTATCAAGTCTCCAATTCATTTACCTATGTGTCCTCGGCCTCTGGTTTAAGGAAGCTGTTCTTCCAGGACTGTGCTGACTTCCAAGTCTTGCTGGACTAGTCATGTAATCGTTGGGGACTGTGGGTGGCTTAACAGGCTCCAACGTTTTATAGGGAGTGTTCCGTCTATTAAAATGAAGCAGGACAGAAAGCAAAGGGGACAGAAGAGAAAAAAGAAATGGAAATTGGATTAGATTACAGGAAAGCAAATCACTGCACGTGACCTTACCTGTTAAGCAGTTTAGTGTCCACCGTCCTGCAGCATTCTTGAGATATACCATATTAATGATAAATACCTAGTGCATTCTAGGTGTTGCTGGACTACCCCAGATACAGATGGAGTCTCAGCAACAATTTAAGGTGAAATTCTTCTTTACTCAATAATAACTCTGGAAACATAAATTACAAAGAAGTCTATGGATATTCTTCCTCTTTCATAAGTGGAAAATCATAAATTCATAATTCAAAGGGAAATGCAAGAACAAAATAGTTATCTGAGGAGTCCATCTCGGTAGTTAAATATGAATTGCATGTATACAAACTCAAAGGACTCATGCTATAGTTAGCACCTGCTAAGGCGTATTTAGTTATGACAAAACAAAAACAAATTATCATGAAAATCTGCAGGCTATGCAGGATAGAACACTGCTCTGAGTCATACTATAAACCTGTCTGCTTTTCTTTATAGAATTTGTGTGTCTATATGGCTGTACATGGATATATAAACTCCCAACCCTAGTGTTAGAATTAGAATTCCCAACTACAGGTAGTCCCCACTTAATGACTATTCATTCAGCGACATTCAAAGTTACATTGGGACCAAACAAGGCATATTTATGACCGGTCCTCAAACTTATGGCTGTTGCAGCACCCCCACGGTCACATGATCAAAATTCGGGCACTTGGCAACCTAACTGCATCTAAAACTGCAGGGTGCACTTCAACTCCCCCCACCCACCTATCTCCCCCCCATCTCTGCCCTTTGGCTACCTGGCCCTCTGCTGCCCCCCACTGCCCCCAGCTGACCTTTGCATGCCTCATCAGCAGCCGGAGGAAGAAGGCAGAGAAGGTGGACTGGGGGGAGCAGGGGGGTGGCGGAGAAGAGGGTGGCCAAAAGGGCAGAGATGGGGGGAGATAGGCAGGTGGGGGGAGCGGAAGTGGAGGTGAGCGCAGCAGGATAGGAGAAGCATAATGATGGCGTGATCCACCTAACGACCACAACCAGGACTATCAAAACTGCCATCACTAAACGGTACAGTCACGTGATATTTTGCCTAACAACTGCATTACTTAGCGACAGAAAATCCAGTCCCAGTTAAGGTTGTTAAGCAAGGACAATCTGTAGGTGCAAATCAGCCTAACAATTAATTATTCTCAGTAACACAGTAATATTTTTATAAAATTGTCCCAAGATTAGATATTAAGAAATTACATTTGATAATTTATGACAAATCTGAATGTGTGCCAGCACACCGCATAATCTCCTAGTTGGTAGAATGTGGGCAACAACATGTTGACTTGCAGGATAGTGTTCAGATTACCAAAGTTACCTTGCACAGAATAACTTGTACATGTTTGATGATAAAAGTGCTGCTTGCACTTCCATCAACTTGATGAAATGAAGACTGCAGCTGGTCATCTTGTCTACTCTGTCTCTGATTAAAAAGCAATTCCTGAGAGCCTCAACTAGCCAAGAGAATGGTTACTGCAAAATTGGGGAGGAAATATACTGTACAGAGAAAAGGATGGGTGCAAAGAAGCCAAGAGACAAAGGAATGGTTAAGAGACAGAAAAATTGCAGAGTGATTTTGATGAAAATAAACAATGGCTTTGGTAGTGGGTGAAGAGGGCTAAACAAGGAGCCTCCTGCAGAATGAATGATTTAATTACATTCCATAAATAGTGATGAAATAATTTGGAATGAAACTGAAGTGAGGGAAGGCTGGAAGGGGTACTTAGAGTTCTGTATGAAGTGATTGAGATATACTGAAGAATAAAATAAAAACAAATACTATAAATATTAGTGTCCAAGAAAAGATGAATGAAAAGAAAGTCACAAATGCTGTGAAAATGTTGAAAAATGGTACAAGTGCAGGTATAGATGGTATAATTGGAAAAATGTTAAAATATGGGATGTGATTTGTTTATGAAGTAGTTGTGCAACTTGTTTAATCCGTACCTGATGACTGGAAAAATACCATTACTGTTTCTCTATACAAACAGAAAGGGAGAATGTGGGAAAGGAATTTTATTGTACATTTATTGATCTAGAGAAGGCATGTAAGTGTAAAGGCTTGAATCGTGGAATGTTTTGTGTGAAAAGGGAGTTAAAGGATGGTTGTGAATGCAATAAGAACAGCATATGATGAAGTAAAGCATGCATGGGAATAAATGGAATATTTAGTGAATGGTTCAGCAGGACTAAGACAAAGATCTATAATGTCCCCTTAGTCGTATAAAGTATATAAGTATCAGGAATGACTTCAATTATATTAGAGGTACATTGGTTGGGACATAACAGTAAGCCTACTTTTATATGTAGATGATGCCATGTTGTTGGCTGACTGGTGATGCCCTGTTGGCTGAATAATCTGCAGTGAATGTACGACTGTTTGATACAAGGAGGAGCTTGGGTCTGAAAATTAATGTATCAAAGACCTAGGTAGCTGTGTCTGGCAGGAAAAGTGAGGAAATCACTGCAAATTCTATATAAATGGCAAAAAAAATAGAGCAAATAGATGCTGGTAGGAAGCAGAAGTATGCAGTCTGTTTGACAAATGAATGTTTTCCTAAGCTAAAACAGCTGTATATGTTTGTGCTCACTTTATTACATGGAAGTGAGAGTTGTGTATGTCAGACAAAATATAGAAGCTAAATGCAGCAGAAATGAAATATTGAAGAAATGCAGGTGGTAAAAAAAGAAGTGAGAGGTTTAAGAATGTTATGGGCACTGAATAAAGGTAGACTGAATTCCAAAGTGGTTGACAAGTATGAAATAAGTATGTTGAGCGAATGAATGAGGGTCAAATTGCAAAACAAACATACAGGTCAAGAGGAAGGGAAAAATTAAGAAAGCTGTGGCTGGGTGGACTTGATGAGATCCTAAAAAAGAAAGTTGAGAAGTTTAAAGAACAAATGAAGTGTTATATGGACACAGCAGAGGCAAGGGTGGCTTGCAGGTATAGAAAGATATGTAAACCATATGTAGTTGGAGCCAGCTAGTTTTAACTATAGTTTCTTTTCTTTTTCTTAAGTTCCCCTTTTCATTTCTTTGACTTACTATTTTTATCCCCTTTTGTCCTTTAATATACCTCGTCCTGAAAAGGAATTACATAATGCGTATGCATATATCACAACGTTTTTTTTTTTCCTGGCAATAAGGTTCAGTTAATGTATTTCTTTAATCCTTTCAGCATTAAAGTCTTCCTTGAGCTGAGCCTGTCTCCTGGTGACTATGTGAACATGTCCATGCTGGCAATAATAAAAAATGTGGTTTTTGTTGCCTTCATCAACTTACTGGTATAGCCTCAAATTTATGTCTCCTACACACTTTTTCCTCAAGGTTTCAGCAAATACAGTCTGTTTGCTACAGATGTACATACTCATCCAAATACTTCCAGCATAGGCTGTTTCCAAAGGTGGGATTCTCCATTATTCTGCAGTCCTAGCAAGAAAGTAACATCTTTGCCTCTTAGAAACAAAGAGTTGTTAGTTATTTTTCCATGGACAGTGCTAAAACAGCACTCTCCAAACTTGGTTAATTTGGGCCTCTTCTCTTCCAAATTTAAATGACCTCTGGAGCACTGTTTTCCTCTGCCCATTTTATTCCAGCCACTTTGATAGGTCAGGGTGTGGGTTAAAATTTGTGTATAAGGGCAAATTGATATTAATGTGCATTTCCCCTTACCATTATTCCTGGTAAAGCTCATTAGACTAAAAAATCTCACCACCACAGCAGCTGCTGACTCCCAGCCTCAACACTCTTGATGCAGCCCTACCTACTATACAAAGTATTTTAACCCTTCTTGAGTGTGTCTTGAGACTCTAAGAATTAATAATGCAGCCACAGATCCAAACAAAGAAGGGAAAGCTAGTTTCCAACCTTGCTTCCTGTCCATGCAATAGAACAGCCTTCTCCAACATGGCGCCTCTGACCAATTCAGTACAGACAGCTTTCATTGCCTGCCAGCACAGGCAATGGCTAATCAAGCAAGTATGATAGGATGTGTGTGTGTGTGTGTGTGTTTTTTTGTCTGCGCTCAGTCATTGCTGACCCTGCAGTGACTGCTTGGACGAGTCCTTGCAGTTTTCAAGGCAACTGTTCTTCGGAAGTGGTTTGCCAGAGCCTCGGGCCTAGGGCAGAGCCCAGCGGGCGAGCGCGGGAGGCGGGGTTTCCGTTGCTTCGCGCCCTTTTTGGGAGCGCACAGTTTTTCGCGCCTACCGGCAAATGCTCCCAACTCCTTTTTTGCAAGGCGCCGCCAGCATTTTTCCTCCCACCGGAGTGAGAGTCCCGATTTATCTACTCACGTAAGTTTTCGAACTGTTGGGTTGACAGGAACTGGGGAGGAAACAGGAGCTCACCCTGTTTAACGCGAAGGCTGGACTCGAACCACTGAAGCGTCGACCATTTCTGGCCGGCAACTTTCAGCGTCATTAAGCCGCTGCGCCACCGCGTCCCCCTCATGATAGGATGTGCAGTCTAATATATCCAAAGAGCATTAGGGTCTATTTATTAATAGGGGCTTCTTATATTCAAATATATAAAACAAAATATTCTTCCTCTCTAAGTTCAGCATTTCTCCCAGAACTGAGTGATACTATGTTGAATTAGAAAAAGAGAGTGGACTGAGTGCCTATATCCCAGTTTAATCCACTTTCTTTACTGTCCAGCAACTTAAACAGAACATTATATTGGTTTCAGAATGGAAATTCTCCTTGGACATTCAGAGAAATCAAAACTCTTTGACAGTATCGGAACTTCAAGAGCACTCCATCAGCTGGGTTGGTATCCTATACGTCATCATGTAGGAGATGGTCCCAGGAGCACCACATGAATTCACTCAGAAGCAAATGGACTTAGGTATCAAGTTACTTCCCATTAGAAAACAAGGAGACCTCAACCCTAGACAGTGTTGCACAAGCAATCAGAATTGTGGTCTTTGTCAACATAAAAGCAGAAACCTTGTTCTTACCCTAGCGTTCCTCGGCCTGACATAGGAGGACTTGGTGGTTTCTGTGTAGGAGGATTTGTTCTTGACAAAGTGCCAGTTCTTGCAGGCTGATTGCTTCCATGCTGAAAACCGGAATAATGCTTTAATATTTTTTTAAATAAAACAGCTCAAATAAACATTGAATGCTTCAGTATCCTAATATAAAGAAAGGATTCCCAGACAGCTTTTAGAATACAGCTTATTTTGCTGCCTACTCAGTTAAGTATAATAAGGGTAATACATTTCTCCCACCATCCCTTTGCAATTTTATACCCACCAGCAAATGAAGTCTAAGCTGTGTTGGTTTACAAAACAAATCTGCTTTCAGTGACCACATTAGATCAACAGAATGCTTTTTATATTCAAGATTTACCAATATATTTATTTTTTCCAACTTCATCTGATTAGCATAGGCATGCAAGAGTTTCTGGGAAACCTTGTTTAAAACGTTAAGTCAATAAGAGAAAAAGCACTGCTGGATCAAAGCAAAGCACTATGTATGTTAGAGAAATTAAATGTTATCTATGAATAAAATGCATCTGTCAATATATCAGTAATATATTAACTGTCAGTTGGAGCTGAAATTCAACACATCTAAATAACCTATGAGTGAAAAAGGAGCAGAGAAGTATAGGAGAGAGCACTAGCTTTCAAGTGTAATGGCTCAGCCTCTACTGTCATGGGGTGTTCTGGGTCAAATGATAAATAACTCTTCTTACCTTGGCTTTTAGCCACTTACGTTGGCAAAAAGAAAAGGAGGAAGAAAAGCAGAAATTAATGGCACATCTGTTACTGTCCATACGACAGGTCTTAAATACTAATGGTACAATATATGCATATTTTCTTTGTAACTGACAGTTGCAATCCAGATACAGAAACAAGCTTTCACTTGTGACTAGCATGAAAGCAGATTCCCCCCAAAGGTTTGTAACTGTTCTTCTCCCACAACTGAAAATACGTTGTTATGGCTGCAGCAGTTGCGACACACTCTCAAAACTAACACTTAATACATAGACTGAAGAACAGCTTGCAAACACTTTCAGGGGGCAAAGAGGAGGGACTCGGGATGATGGCAAACTGTACTAAAATTCAACCACAGTTTGGCTGGAGTTGTACAAATGGAATCTATAAAATAATATTACATGAAAACTACCCCAATCCCAGATGTTGATCGGTATACCAAAATCAATCCTTCATTGAGCTAATTTTATAATAGATCAATGTGCATCAAATTACAAATAGAGTACACATTTCTATGGCCCTAGTTGTGTTTCTATCACAAAGCTGCTTTCACAGAGAGATGAACACTAGTCTAGTTCACACTATGCCAGCCTAGTTCACACTATCTTCTCTTCATGTAGTTGTATATCTAAGCATGCAACACAGTAAAGGAACTGTATTTCTTCTTCTAAATCTTTGCTCTTTAAATCAGTTTCCAAAGCACTTACAAAAAACGTGTGAGCTTCTCCATGAAAAGCCTAAGTACTACTACAGAATTATAAACAACTCATTTTTCCTTTTTAAAGTATGCTTCATTCAGACAGCTCTATATTCTCCTTCTTTCTCTTTGATGTTATTTATAGAAATAGAGCCCAGCTAAGAGAAATGGGAATGTAATAATGACAGCCTAATCCGATCAATATGTGCTTGAACATGAAGCCAGTTATCCTCCAATCACGTTTCCATGTTTGAAATGATAAAGTTCTTGACCCATCTCCAAAAGAAGAAACAGATACATCAGAACTTTGGAATATTTTGAATGCCTCTGATGCCATTAAAAAGCCATGTAACTAGTGATTCTTTAAGTAGATGCATTTACTGTATGAGATAAAGAAGCTTTTGAACTGAGCTTAGACATTTAAACTCAATTTAGTTATTACTACATTATAATCTGGAAAACAAATCTTCTGTTCAGACAATGCACACTTCAAAAAATTATTACATACATTTACTAAAATGTATTTCATACAAGACAACCTTGAGGAAATCTCCTACTAGGTGCTAGGTTCCAATAACACATGTGAGATGGGTGGCTACACAAATGTGATTGATTAAATAAATAAATAAAACTCATACCAGTTTAGATTTTCCATATATGTGCATTCTCCAACGAATTAATTACCCCATCTACATGTGAATGCATACAATATCAAATGAAATGCTCCTTACACAGAAAGTGAATAGTAAAGTGAGTGCAGTAGTGAAAGTAACTGAAAGGGCCAATAATATAATGTATACTTACTTTCTCTAAGTATTCAAAGCATTTTAAAGATTTGTTTAATAATCCTTACTGGTAGGTCAGTGCTATTATACTACTAGTACATCAATCTCGTAAAAGGGGTTCAGTGTGCTGCACTAAAACAACCATATACAGTATTCTTTTTTAAAATATGGCATGGCTAGAGTTTGCAAAATATGTTAAATTTTCTCAAGCCAGTATAGGCTAGGAAAATTTTCAAGTTTGGAAACAAAAGAAAACTGACAGTGAAGGTAATCTATTACATAAAGTGCCTATTACAAATGGAATCCAGAGGTTCAGGGAAGGAATAAAGGAGTATTTTTATATTTAGCTATGATTGATTGATTGATTGACTGACATCTTTGACCTTAGATGAGGTAGCAATTTCCCCTTTAAGTTTGGTATCAATCTAGGGGGCCTTCCCAGACTCACAGCTCCTGCTTAAAGAACAGGTGTCAGCTGTGGCCAGGAAGGCCTTTGCACAACTCCATCTGGTGCACCAGTTGCACCCTTTCCTAGATCAGGAGGCCCCTCAGACTCATGCCCTAATCACCTCACAGTGTGTCTACTGCAACACACTCTACATGGGGTTGCCCTTGAAGACTGCCTGGAAGCTTCAACTGGTCCAGAATGCAGCAGTGCAAGCAGTAATGGGCATGTCTCGGGATGCCTATGTAACACCTCTGCTTTGCGAGCTGCAGGTGTGATTCAAGGTGCTGATCGCTACTATAAAGCCCTGCATGGCATAGGGCCTAGTTACTTGAGGGACCACCTATCTCCCATACATCTGCCTGACTGATTCAATCCTGCAGGGTTGGCGTACTCCAGGTTCCTTCAGTTAAACAATGTAATCCCATCAGAATCCTGGAAGCACTCCTTCTCTGTAGCAGTGCCTGCCCTCTGGAGCAAGGTTCACCCCAAGATCTGAATGGCCCCCACTCTGCTGTCTAGAAAAGCCATGAAGGCCCAGCCCTTTGACAAGGGAGAGTGAGACCCCTCACTTCATTGTGCTTGCCATCTTTTATCTTTATCTTTTATCTTTTACTGATGTTATGTAATTTCCTTGATTGTTATGAGCCACCCAGAGTCGCTGAGGGTTGGACAGCATACAAGTTTAATAAATTATCGTTATCGTAAAAAAATCCACCCATTTATATTGGCTTGATGAACACATCTGAATTTGACCTCTGATTACTATGTACAAAACTCACAATCAGATATAGATTTATAAAAAATGAAAGGCATTAACAGCACAATGACTGGTAATTTGGACAATTTTAAATATACAGAATTGTCACTTTGTAGTACTTTGTGTAGCATGTCTCTGTTTAAAAGGCTTCAAGGAAGTGCCTTGCATAAACTGCTTCAAGGGGAAAGAAGCAGATTTGATGTTGTATTCTTACTTCCTTGTTCCTTCAACAGTCCTGCATCATTGCCTTTGTTCGCTGAGCTTTCACCAAAACAGATGTTTAACAAATAGCAATATTATAAACTATCCAAATGCCTCAGCAGTTTCAAGAAATGATCATCTTTGTTTCTAGAAAAAATCTAATGTAAATATTATTCTTATGCACACATGAAAGCCAAAACAAGACATAAACAAAGGTTATGCTTATCTCAAAGATGTGATGGAGACAAGCATTTTGCCTCAAAAATAAACAAGCAAAAATACCTCTGGATGCAAATATCACAATAACATTTATTTAGCTTAATGAGATAGACATCTTCTCTGGATGCAGTGATAAACTATTGCATCTAATGGCAAACAAGCCTTTAATAGGTGCATTCTCCTCCTCCTGTCTAGTACAGTTGGGAAAAAAAATCTGGAAGTTCTAGATTTTAGTTTAGACATAATAAATCATTATGTTTAAATCCATCCATACTTATTCTTACCAAATAAAGTTGGTTTATTTCAATCAATCAAAATTAAGACTAGCTACCATTCAAAATTAAGATGCAGTGGTGGTTTCTGGTCAACTGAAGGCATTATGTATCATTGTCTCTGAAACATGCCATTGCCTCTGCGGTCCTACATGAATGTAACATTCCAGCAAGATTAGACTGCTGTCCTCTGTATATGAAACACTGCAGTATTTATACTGTTTGTCTTTCAGGGAAAGATAATCCAGGTACCTGAGTAACAACAGACAATAAGAGTCTGATTTTCTTGATCTATAACTCCCAGCAGTTCACAGACCAAACATGAGTAGAAGTTCAACAGAAATTCCTCATGCCTGCTGTACAATACAGCAGGGAAATTAGAGCTCATTCTATCAGAATAGTGAAAGCCTTTTAAAGTGGTAAGCCAAACACATCACAAATGTATTTTAGGATTAATTATCTATACATGACAGAGGTGATACAATATATGTAGCAATGTATACTCTGTATAGTGGTTTATATACTTTTTCAGCAACATATCATGATCATTACTTTGGAAGAAACTTTTGAAAATAAATTCAGTTCATAAAGACATTAGGAAGCTAATAACGGGGCACAAAAAGCTTAACAAACTGATGTATAGGTAGTCCTCGACTTATGACCATTTGTTCAGTCACCATTTGAAGTTATGATGGTGCTGAAAAAAGTGACTTACGACCAGTTCTCATACTTATGGCCATCACAGTGTCCCCATGCTCGTGTGGTCAAAATTCAGGTGCTTGGCAACTGGTATGTATTTACGACAGTTGCAGCATCCCAAGCTCACATGATCGCCATTTATGACCTTTCCACCTAGCTTCCGACAAGCAAACTCAATAGGGAACCATGCGATTCACTTAACAACCATGTGATTCACTTAACAACCGCCACAAAAATGTAAAATTGGTGCAGTCACATGCCTCACTTAACAACCATACTGCTTAATGACAAATTTTCTGGTCCCTATTGTGGTTGTAAGTCGAGGACTACCTGTAAGAGGATGAAAATGACCATCACCACCAAATACTGAATTTCTTTTCCAAGCTATATTTGAGTAAAGCACTTTAACACAAAATCAGTTTAGAGGCCAGAACAGAAATTTATGACATCAGAGTTATTTGCTATCCTAAATAACTGACAATGGCTAGAAAGAGAACCAAGTTCTTACCTTCACACCATGGCCTACGTCATCCAATACTGTGTAGTCTATCGGTTTTCGAATATACCTTACAGGCCGCTCCATGTTTGCTGGAGCTATTATTTTGTGTGTTCTGGAAGTATTCTTATTAGTTGTCAAAATGCCAATCTCTCTACGGGCAACTTTTTCTTTATGTATGTCCACTGTCTGCAAAGAAAACAAAAGATGCAAATGCATGCTTAACAACTTCAATTCCAAGCATTTTAATGTTTTTTTGCATACAGGTAGTCCCTGGGTTAAGAACGCCCAGGTTACAGATGACCCATAGTTAAGAATAGAGCCTACTGTAGCACAATTCAAGTTAAATACACAATAGTTCAAGGTAATTACATAATACTACTTATACAGTTTTATACAATAATACTGTTCTGGCTTACATACAAACGACTTAAGGACAGACCTTGGGAACAGAACCTGTTCTTAAACTGGGGACTACCTGTAATATATAATGTTAATGTACCATACCTTGTTCAATATAGATTCTAAGCTCAGAATGATTTAGACAGCTTCTTTTTTTTATGTTTGATTACTGGCTGAACCCACCCAATAGAGTGGACCTTGAATATAAGTAAAACTGGGAAGAAATTGGATGTAGGACCACTAGCTTATATAAGATATACCATTGTTCCAAAAATCATTTGCTAGAACATTCACATAGTTTCAAGACAGCTAGTATTTTCCTGCTCAGGAGGAGATTATTTCCTCCCATGCATCCTTGCAATTATGGTGCAATTACACAACATGGTGTAAAAACACATCCAAGATCATACCTTCCTAGTTACTTTAACATACCCATGAAATGGAAAAGGTAAATAACACCCTACATATAATCAAAGGAAAGGAAGTTTTTGTTATAAAGACAATTTGATCTCAGAAGCATGCCATAATTAAAAGAAAGTCAACACTCTGTAAGAAAGGGATGGAACTCAAAAGTAATTAGAAAAATCTACCCTGGAAGAAAATCAGGTTTTCTGGCTGCAGAAAAATTTATACTTAAAACATTATGTGTATGTGAACCTGTAATCAGAAACTAAACACTGTTCAAACTACTATTCTACTATTCTGGAGGGTATTGTTTTTAACCCGATTGCTGGGATAACTGGGGGCATTAAAAACTATTAGTAAGATCCCCCCAATTTTTGCATGTATATATTAGACGCTGCTGATCATGTATTTTATTTTGCTGTTGGTAGTTTTTAATTGCTGCTATCCACCCAGAGTCACCATGGTGAGGAGGGCACCCTTAGAAATTGAATATAATAAATAAAAACAAGGATAACAAAACGTTAACAATGCATTTGTCAGCCTCCTACTCAGGCTTTCATTGTTTTTATATATTGCTAGCTGCTTTTTTTTTTTTTTCCTCCACTGTTATGAAACAGGAGACTAAAAAAATTAGCACATGGACATAGGATTAAAAGAAAACAGGACAAGACATACTGGAAAATTGTAACTGATAACATCAACTGCAAGACAGAGTAAATTTCTAGTTACGTATTCTGCAACTACTTAAATACAAATTGCAAATGACACTTTTGAGATACAGTGGTACCTCGGGTTACGAACGCCTCTGTTAACGAACTTTTCGGGTTACGACCAGCTCCTGGCACAAAAATTTACCTCGGTTTGCGAACTCTGCCTCGGGGTACGAACAGGGTACGCGGCCATTTTCCCTCCCGTGACACGGTCCGCGGCCATTTTCCGCCCCTGACACGTGGTCTGCAGCCATTTTCCGCCCTGACACGTGGTCCGTGGCCATTTTCCGCCTGACACGTGGTCCGCAGCCATTTTCCGCCCCTGACACGTGGTCTGCAGCCATTTTCCGCCCTGACACGTGGTCCGTGGCCATTTTCCGCCTGACACGTGGTCCGCAGCCATTTTCCGCCCCTGACACGTGGTCTGCAGCCATTTTCCGCCCTGACACGTGGTCCGTGGCCATTTTCCGCCTGACACGTGGTCCGCAGCCATTTTCCGCCCCTGACACGTGGTCTGCAGCCATTTTCCGCCCTGACACGTGGTCCGTGGCCATTTTCCGCCTGACACGTGGTCCGCAGCCATTTTCCGCCCCTGACACGTGGTCTGCAGCCATTTTCCGCCCTGACACGTGGTCCGTGGCCATTTTCCGCCTGACACGTGGTCCGCAGCCATTTTTCCGCCCCTGACACGTGGTCCGCGGCCATTTTTCCGCCCGACACGTGGTCCGCGGCCATTTTTCTGCCCGACATGTGGTCCGTGGCGATTTTTCGCCCCTGACACGTGGTCGTAGGGAGAGAGACTCTCCCTCCAAGCAATAGCCGCCTCCCTGTCCTCCACGCCAGAACGGATTAACGGT